GAGAGTCCGGAGTCCTGCTCCTCCTCTGTAGAACCACAGGCTATACTTTCAAGTTGACACTGGGAGATTCCATACAACCTCCAATGAGAAACAAGATGTTACTGAAACTAGAGAGAATCAGATAATTCTTTAAAATAAAAAAACACTTTGGCCAGAAATTATTTTTATTTTCTTGACGTTACAACAATAATCTTTTGTTTTGATCAGAAAAAAAATAAAAATCAAAGCATTTAGAAAGGCGTTAAAAATATATCTGAGGTTTCAAAGGCGTTCTCATGAAATTTTCAAATTCTTCAAGAGAGAATCAGATAAGTTAAAATATATATTATAGAATTAGACAAACATAAGAGGTAAAAACTACAAATTTAAAATCAATAAATATTGTGTGATATTTAGCTAACAGTTTTATTACCATCTTCTGATAAAAGTACTGAAATGGATTTAGATCTTGTTACCACAACATATCAATCTCTGTATAATAAAATTACTTGAAAACTTTCTCCTAGATTGTATAAACGATAAGGAAGAGTAAGGAGAAAAGATTTTTATTCAATTAAACTTGTGACAAGCTTTCGGGCAGATCCTTCATATACAACCACACCCATAATACTGGCCATTCTTTCAATTTAGATTCTCCCACCACCTTGTACAATAACATTCCCAGTAAACACCAGAGATTAATCATAGAGGCCATTTTATCCATTTCTAATGACAGTATTAATCGACATATAGATTTCCCTAAACAATATCATGATATATGTATTAACTTAAAAACCGGATAAACCCCCTCCCCCCCCCCCCCAACTCACATTACTTTCCTGAATTCACGTTTTCTCGCGGCCAGGCTGCAGTTGTATCATTTTTGTTTAAAGCTCAGTTTGTTTCCTATTTTAATAGTCAATTGTTCTTTTTATTACCTGTTGAAGGGCGTGACTGCCCGAAAGCTTGTCACAAGTTTAATTGAATAAAAATCTTTTCTCCTTACTCTTCTTTATCGTTTATATCAATCTCTGTACCGAAAGAAGCACCACTCCATTTAAATAGGCAATAGAATGATGGCACTGTTGCATCACCCTAGTAAATCTAATTTACTAGTGATGATGAGAAAGAATAAGCCACAACACCAGTTTGGTAAATTCAGACAAAAAGCCAACAACCTGTATACCATGGTTTCAGGCTTTGGCCCATATACAAGGTGTTGGCTTATTGTCTGAATTTACCAAAATAGGTGTGTGTTGTGGTTCATTCTTTATCATTATTTGTAAAGTTGGGGGTCGGTGGAAGGCTGGTTAAACCGTTTGGTTTTCAACCACTACGACCCAGGTTCGATTCCTGCATTGAACACTTTTTTCTGTTTAAAAAAAAAAAAAAGCTCCAATGGCCCCCCCCGATTCTTGCAAAAGTCCAACCCCACCAGCGAGTGCAAGTAACCAAACGGGGATCTGGCACATTTGTAAGTGCAAAGTCGAATTGGCTTTCACATGTGTAGACATGTGGTGCGCTTACAGTAAAAAAAGCAGTCGCTAACTACCCACCATGATTATCATGGCCTGTACCACGTGTACTAGGGATAAGCAAAAAAAATAAATAAAAAATTGTAAAGTTTTTTTTTTACTAGGAAATGCAATAGTGTCATTGTTCTGATGCACATTTAAAGGGAGAGGTGCCTTTTAGTCCATGAATATCATCCTCCCATAACTTTATGTTGATACCAATCTCTGTATAAGCCAAATTGTCTCAATTAGTCTTTTCGTACATAAGAGAGAGACCTGCATAATTATTGTTAAATACCTTTCATTTTTTATTTTGTTGTTTTCCTTTGAAGACACAAGGTAATAAGACCAAATCCTAATAAATAAATAGTGTGTGACGTTTCGGTAACAGCGTTGTTACCATCTTCAGACAAAAGTACTGAATGAGAGAAATTTTACCACAGCATGCTTTTAAATAGTTCCTGTTATCAAGTGTGTAAACAAGATAACAGATAAGACTTTTGTCTGAAGATGGTAACAACGCTGTTACCGAAACGTCACACACTATTTATTTATTTGGATTTGGTTTTATTACCTTGTGTTTATAATCTATAATCCAAATTGTGCCTTATCAATCCTTTGAAGACTGTGTGTGTGGTGAACCGGGTATAAGACTATATGTCCTAATAAAGGTTTGTGTATGTAAGTATACAGAACACATAGCGACATATGTGTGTTGAGACTGAAATTATTCTTTCTTTCTTTTTATTGCTTAATCATTATGTAGAGGATGGATTACTACTACAGTAGAACCTCTATGAGAGGACACTCTTGCTAGAAAAAACCTTTTTATAAAGGATAGTTTTTCATGGTCCAAATTACCATTCATACTAATTAGAAACTCTCCAATTAGAGAACATCTCTCCCTAAAGGAAAGTTTGGCTCAGTAACTATATTCAGTTAAATATAATAGATATATGTAAAAATTTATAAAATGTGGATGTTTTTTTTTTTGTTTATCCTTAGTACACGTGGCACAAGCCATGATAATCATGGTGGGTAGAAGTAGGCGACTGCTTTTACTGTAAGTGCACCACATGTCTACACATGTGAAAAGCAGAGTAATACATTTCTTTATGATGATAAAATTAGGAATAGCTTTCAAGCCAATACTTCAGGTAAAAATGTGTGCAATAAAAAAAACTCTAGTAAAACCTGTTTTGATCAAGCCTAGCCTTGATGCTAAAGAACTGTATGGTTGCCCAATTTGATTGTAATAGAGAAACATATTTGCTGGACCGTGGCGGCGGACGGTTGGCTTCTGTAACACTGGAGCTGACATCACTTCCTGTTGATGCAACCCTGCAGGCGGCGTCGCCACACTGACATATTCTCTTTCTCCATGTTTACCATTTAATCTATATATAATCCCTTTACCTTGTAGTTAATTAAACAATAATTAACGTTGAGCGCTGTGTGTAATCAATTGGAATACAACAATATTGCTAGAGTTGAAACACAAGGTAATAGAAGGGAGCTTCAGATCCTGAACTCTTGAAAATAGAATCCTCAATTGATGGCTTTAGCATTAACACTGATATTCACTTTGGAATCATTTTCTTCAGCTCATAAGAAGAATAACTTCGTAGGTCCATTGAAGTCTATCAAAAGTACAAGAAAATAAGACCTAATCCAAAATTTTTAATAGTGTGTGACGTTTTGGCAACAGCATTGTCACCACCATCAGACAAAAGAATAAATGAATAGATTTTATTCTTTTGTCTGATGATGGTGACAATGCTGTTGCTGAAACGTCTCACACTATTAAAAATTTTGGATTAGGTCTTATTTTCTTGTATTATAATCTATAATCCAAATTGTGCTTTATAATCTATCAAAAGTGATATGGTACAATTCAGATTGTGTTTCTAATCTATAATCCAGACAGTACTTTATCATATTGATAGAGGTGTTTAAAGAAGTAGTGGTTTCAAGTGTATGTGTCCACAATAGGAGGGGGGAAGTAAACAAATAGTTACTGGAGAGTGTGGCCAGTCGGAGCAAGGCCTCCTCCACCTGGTTGGCTATCACGTAGGAGGTCAGGATGGCCAGAAGGTACCTGGAACACACCACCTATAAGTGCAGCAAGATTGGTCTGTTGGGTTTGGCTGAAACCATGTGATCATCAACCCCTCTAATTTTTCAAGCCCCTAAAGGCTACATGTGTTGAATGATGTTGTTTCTTATCCCCTTGTGTAAAGCTTACACAAATTCCATGAACACAAGATTATAATCTATAATCCAAATTGTGCCTTAACAAATTCCATGAGTTCATGCTCCTCAAGCTGTTTTATGATAAGCAGCAGCCTCATCAAAGGTCCTGTTTAGTGCATCTAATGCAAGCCAAAATGCTTATTAAGAGCATCATTGATTTGATAAAGGAAAAACAAGGTAATAAGATCAAATCGAAAAAAATAAATAGTGTGTGATTTTTTGGTAACAAGGTTTTTTACCATCTTCAGACCAAAGTACTGAATCAAAAGTTGTTACTAAAATATCACACTTTTTATTTATTTATTTGGTCTTAATACCTCGTGTTTCTAATCTATAATCCCAATTATGCCTTATCATTGAAAAAGGAAAGAATAGTTTTAATGTGACCAATTGTTACAAGGATATTACACGAGTGTTTGGCACCAGAAAAAACTAGGAGTTGCAATCATAGATGTATGAAGTGGCCCACTTACCTGTTGGGGTCTTGTTTCTCCAGTTCCTCTCTGAGGGACCTGCAGATGGTGCTGGTCTCTGGAATGTTCCTGCATCCACCATTCAGGCTGTCTAAGAATGTGAAAGAGCCATTCAAACAGTAACAAAACTAAGACCAACAAAAGAAAAATTTCCCCTAGTAACAATGTCACCATCATACTAGAGAGTACCCAGTGTCTAAGCTTTCTAGACTGATTAGAGAAAAATGCTGGCAACTAGTTTACATATTGGACATATATATACAGTAGAACCTCCCTGTAAAGGACAACACCTAATTGCAGAGCCAAAGTGTCCTTTAAGAGAGAGATGTCCTCTTACCGGTGCGTTGCTATATAGTAAAAATGGTAATTTTGTAAATGAAAACTGTCCTTTGAAGAGAGGTGTCCTCTAGCGCGAGTGTCCTCTCATGGAGGTTCTACTGAATTAATTAAATATTTGAAATTGAAAATCTTGTGTAGCATCCTCTCTTCAATTCTCATAGCCATGAGAAAGGAGCAGTTGCTCTATGTAATCAATAATCCTGCCCTCTATAATTCTGCCTTTTTGGAGTTGATCTAATTGTTGTAAGGTTACTAAGGCTGGCTTAAAATTTATTTCTTAAGCTATTAATCTGAGTTGTTTCTCCTAAGGATATTAAAATACTAGACGAATGACCCGGGCAACACCCGGGGTTTACCCGATTAAATGCTTTTATTCAAATACTATTCGTTACAATTATAAATTGGCGCCGTAGATGTCACTCTTGTGAAACGTCCCGCCCCAAACCATCGGCCGGGAATCGAACTCGGGGCGCCCGCGTGGCAGGCGAGCATTCTACCACTGACCACTGAACCAAAGGCAAACGGTGACAGAAGTGTCTCGCGCATTGGCGGCACCAAATGATGGGGGGGGGGCAAAGGTGGCGTGATCGTAGCCGACCAATAGGAGGGCACCGGCAAACCGTGACAGAGGCCATGACGCTCGTAACTGTATATAGAATAGGTCCCTCAGCAGAGCTGACTGCTACAGGGTGCGTCCCCAGGTGGCGGATAAGGGAACAACCTTCAGATATGAAAGCCAGCTGCGAAACAAGCAGAATAACTCTGAAAAATAAGCAGTCACGGACCAACAGCAGCATTGTTAGAAGAGGAGAAAGACCTCTTTAAAAATCCTGAGTTCAACTGATCCAGTTGATGGACCTCAGCATGGGTCCCTCTCCAGGGATACGGAGGAGCCACGTCTGTACTCAAGTTATAGTCGGCAGCAAAGGTGTCTGCTTCCATGTTAGGAACAGCCTCAAATTACAGGCAAAGTCAGACTTTCACCAAAGTGTGCCTGGATCATGGTGCCATGATCAACGAAAGCTGCACCCCTACACACCATTCCATTGGAATTCGTGTAATCTTTACACAAGGGGATAAGAAACAACAAAATATAGGTAGAAAATGCTGATTTTATTAATGAAAATTTTTATCATCTCCAGAGCATCAAAGTAACTAATGGAGGCTTTTGAGCACAGGAGGTTTTCCTCAGGTATTTATTTATCAGACTTACAGCTGATGTAGAACTTCTGTGCTTAAAACCTTACATTCATTATTTTGACATTCTGGGGATGAAAAACTAATTGCTGAAAATAAACCTTATAAAGGTTTTATAGGCCACTATTTTCAAATAAAAGATACAGTAGAACCTCCATGAGAGGACACTCACGCTAGAGGACATCTCTCTACAAAGGATAATTTTAATTTTCAAAATTACCATTTATACTATTTAGCAACTCTCCAGTAAGAGGACATCTCTTCCTAAAGGACACCTTGGCTCTGCAATTAGGTGTCTCTAACAGAGAGGTTCTACTGTATATTCTAATGGTTGGTGCAAGAGATATTCATTTTCATAACCAAGAAATATACTTTTGCTTAAATTTTAAGCCCCTTCTATATTTTTTATCCTCTACTTTTCATTAACTAGAATTGTATTCAGGTTGTCATTTTACAAAGGTTGTTGTTTCTTTTCCCCTTGCATAAAGATTACACAAATTCTATGAGTCAATGCTCCTCGAGCTAATTTTACAAGGGTATATCAGGAGAGAGCTACAGTAAAAACCAGTCCTGTAAGTGACCAAGACTTACCTGAGGCTGGTGAGGAAGATGTTGAGAAGATGGGGGTCAGGGATCTGCTGCACCAGCTTGTCCACATTCTCCGCAAACACCTGTCATCACTCCATGTTGTCAGAGACTCTCTCTCTCTCTCTGGTTGTACAACAATTCAGGAACTTTTGGGTGGAGGGAACAATGAACCAAGCTATTAATGCCAACATAAAATCAATCTATCAAAGATGGATTAAAAACACCAACAATGGACAACATATCTACTAATAATGGGATAATGTAAATCAACAATGAGAAGAACAACTTTTAACAAGGATTTACGAATTTTTATGTCTCTATGCTCACAATGGATCTATATAGAAAGAATATACCCATGGTAACAACAAAGAAACAGCAATAATAATTCTATATAGCAAGAATGTACCTATTGTAACAACAAAGAAACAGCAATAATTTTTTTTTTTTTTTGCTTATCCCTAGTACACTTGGTACAGGCCATGATAATCATGGTGGGTAGTTAGCGACTGCTTTTTACTGTAAGCGCACCACATGTCTACACATGTGAAAAGCAGTTCGACTTTGCACTTACAAATGCCAGAGCCCCGTTTGGTTACTTGCACTCGCTGGTGGGGTTGGACTTTTGCAAGAATCGGGGGCCAAGGGAGCATTTTTTTTTAAACAGAAAAAAGTGTCCAATGCGGGAATCGAACCCGGGTCCTAGTGGTCGAAAACCAAACGGTTTAACCAGCCTTATGTAGCAAGAATGTACCTATGGTAACAACAAAGAAACAGCAATAATAATTCTATATAGCAAGAATGTACCTATGGTAACTACAAAGAAACAACAATAATGAATCTATATAACAAGAATGTAAGTATAAGAATTTAAGACATGCGAGGATGTGTTTCTTAAAGGTTTTAATATGGGCGAGCTTTCGGGTTATTAACCCTTCTACAGGACATCATATCTGAGTAAAACTGCATCTTATATACATATCCATATTGAGAAAATTAGCATATATACAAGAAAACTATAAACATATTAACAAAATTGGTGAAAAAGTAAAAATAAGAAAAATCTGCGTGTTCTGAGTATGCTAAGAAGTAAAATCAAAAATAGTTGTACAAAAAGGATACGGTTCAATTTAGGGCTGCAATAGTAAAACGATCCAAAATAAAACTCTCTGGCAATGGTCACCTAAGGTACACTATGGCAATATTGCATTGTATATATCAGGGATGTCTATGTGTCTGTTAATACTGTTATGTCTTAAAGAGAGCAACGCCTCGACGACCAACCTTCTGTATTTGTTCGTGATTCCTGAATAATATGCCTGTGGTTGAGAGGTATCGAAAGAATGTGCTGTCTGTCTAATGTGTTGTACTATAAGGGATCTAGGTTCATTGTTTCTGATGTTTCTATGGTGTTCATCCATCCTATCTTTGATTCTACGGCCTGTTTCTCCTATATACAAACTATTGCAATCTGAGCATTTTAAGGAATACACGGAGTTTGTAAGATATGGCAGGGTAATGGGAAAACTATTTCTGGTGATGGGGTTTCTAACTATTGTTTCTAATTTAGGAGCACAAGACAAGAATGTACCAAGGATAAAAACAAATAAACATCTATCAACAATGGATAGAAGAAGTTAGATGCTTATATGCCCAGAATAGATCTATACAGCAAGATTGTACCTATGGTAACAACAAAGAAACATAAGTGTGCCTGGATCATGGTGCCATGATCAACGAAAGCTGCCACTCTATACCCCATTCCATGAGATCATGAACTCATGGAATTTGTGTAATCTTTACACAAGGGGATAAGAAACAACAACAACAATAAAGAAACATAACAAGAATGAATAGAAAAAGGTCATCATCAGGAGAAAGGTGTAAACCAAACACTGACCTTGGGATGATGGGAATAGATGAGTCCCATGTTGATGCGGTGGACTTTCATCAGTTGGAAGGCCTTGCTGAACTCCAGTCTGACACAGATCCCAGGTTAGAGGTGATGCTAGTGAGACTAACTCCATTCTCAAGGTCAACAGTAGCAATTGAAAAGAGCACATGCACAATGGAGGTAACTACAGCCAAATCTTACTATAACAACACTAGGGACTAAGAATTTATGTTGATGCGGTGTACGTTGTTATAGCCAAAGATTGTTGTTATAACCACTGTTAAAACAATTGGGACTTAAAAGTTGAGACCTCAGAATTATGATGTTATACCCATGTTGCTGTTCTAAAGGGGGGTTCAACTGTCTTCTTCTTCTTCTTTCTTATCTCCACACTGGGTGAAGTAGAATGCGTCTGCCTTTGTCATTAAGACTAGGAGCACTACTCAGTGGCAGGCCGACTTAGCTCCAAAAGAAATGGCCGCCTCTGACATGAGGATCAGACACCATGTGCAGCCGCTCCTAACATGGAGTACAAACGCTGCTCATCCTGTATCCCTGGATCAGGAGCCCTTACAGGGTACTATCAGCCAGGCCAGCTGAGCCCAGGGTTCAACTGTAAATAGTTTGAATGATAAGGTACAATTTGGATTATAGATTAGAAACATAAGGTAACAAGACCAAATTCAAATAAATAAATATTGTAACAGCATTGTTATCAAAACGTTACACACTATTTATTTATTTGAGTTTGGTCTTGTTGTTTATAAAAATGTATAACAAAGCAGTCTCAACATATCGATGTGTACAGGTAGAGTTGATTGGGTGATGATGAGGGATTGATTGAGTTGAACCTCAGACAGCATCAAACAACACTAACAAGATTTAGAACAGGCTATCTCAAGCCATTGAAGATGGAAAATAATAACAAAATTTATCCCACTTGCCCAAAATGTAGATTGGCACCTTCAGCTCCAGAACACATTTTGGTTTGCATTAGATGCACTAAACAGGACCTTTGGGAGAAGGCGTTGTTCTATCATCAAACAGCTTGAGGAGCATGAACTCATGGAATTTGTGTAATCTTTACACAAGGGGATAAGAAACAACAACAACAAAAACCTTTATTGACATCTAAGGAATGTCGGTGGACGAATGGTATTAACTGTCCATTATCACACAACTATCCACAAAAACCTAATTAAGACACTAGCAATTTAGAGGGGAGGGAGAGCAATCAGCCGTTGTCTGTGGAGTTGAGCACTTCTTCCCTCATTTTATCAATCGCCTTGAAAATTTTTTAATATTTATAAACAAATGTTTTATCCAGCAGGAGAGTAGTAAACATTTTATAGACATGTTCATTATAGTGAGTTAGCCCCAAAATTTCGCGAATTTCCAGTCTCTTTTTCTGTAGAAATGGGCAATGGAATAGATAATGGACCAAATTGTCTTGGATGACAGCATTGCAGAAGTAGCAATTTAAAGGGTAGGGGATAAGAAACAACATAACCCAAAGGTTTGGAGAACCATACAGAGAGCAGGATGAACAACTGACCCATCCAACAACCGGACGATGGCTTTCATCATCAGGGGCCTGGGAAACATGGTCTCCAGGTTGCCCCGTGGTAGCTGGACCACCACCTTACATTGGAGGGGCACTACACACAGCAGCTCGGAGCCTTCCTCCAGTCTCCGCATCTCTGACTCTAGCACTTCTCCTGCACCCACACACATATCATGAGTTTGTTGTTGACACACACTAAATATGTGTAACCCCAAGACATATTATTGACTGTATTGACTCATCCATTGATGAGCTCTACTCTTCCCCGGCAGAGACCATCAAAAGT